TTGAGTATTGGCTGATACAGTAATTGTTTTACCATTAACTGTAATCTTTTTACTTGAAGCTGTTGATGGGGCATAGGCAGTATTTAAAACAGCTTGTCTACTTGTTTTGTTAGTCTTTGGCATTGATGAACAGATTTTAAAGTGAATTAGGTTTACATTTTCTTTAAACCATTTTTTTATTATATTTTTATTATATTTAATAGTTTTTGTTCATTTCAATGGTACAAATTTTTAGTTCAAATCTCATATTTATTTATTTCTTTTCAAGTAATACCTCGATTTCTTATTTGAAAGGAAATCAGAAGAAAATTCAATTACACAACAATAGTGCTACTGTCATAGATATATCATAATTAGTTTCAATTAACTTTTCTTTTATTAAGTCGCGACTATGCTCTTGACTTAACATTGGGTATAATCGATCGGTTAAATATTCAACGAGAGGATAACTTGGCTTTGGGCATTTAAAAAACTTAATTTCAAATTCTTCTAATTGTTTCCAAAAGCCTTTGTTTGGGGCAATATTTTTTTTTGCTTGATACACCTTAAAATAAGCATCTTTTAATGAGATTTTTTCATGATAAATAAGATACCCAATAACAAGTGTTGCACTTCTTGAGATTCCAGCTTGACAATGAACAAGTACTTTTTCTTTTTGAGAAAGTGCATTGTCAATGAAATAAAAACATGTTTGAAAATAATTCGAAATTGGAAAGTTTTCCTGATCATTTATATGAAGGTGTAAATAATGTATTTCATTAGGAAAAGCATCAGGATATTGTTCTGTTGTATTGTCATACCCACCTCGTAAATATCCTGTTGCATTAATAATATTTTTTATATTCAATTTATGCAATGTTGAAATATCGTTTGCAACAGCAACAGTCCCAAGATAAAGTTGTCCAGGATAGATTGTGGCACAGTCATGACTAGTATAACCTTCAATAATATTCATATCAACTGCTATTCTTTTAATCTTTAGATTTTCATAATTTGTTTTTAATATTTTTAGGTATTTAACATTCTAAAATAAGAGATAAGTATTTTCTTTTTTTTTTTCAAACGAAAAGAAGTAAAAATAGTTAATCTTAAAATAAAAGAAAAGAACTTAGAAAAAGATATAAATCAAATGGAAGCGTTTGAAAGGCTTCATGCAACTTCATGGGAAGAAGCTAAAGAATTTGTAGATACGGGATATGTTTCTATGTCACAAGAGATGAATGCAGTAACACAAGCCGTTGAAATGGAAGTTGAACAAGGATTTGATATTATTGAGATTTTAACTGAGTCATCAAAAGGAAAAGATGACAAGATTAAATTATTACAAGAACAGAAAGAATTAAGTATGGATGATCCATCGTTTTCTCCTGAAAAATATTTAGCTCTTATACACAATGACACTTCATTCAATAGGTTAATCAATGGACCACTAAGACTTGAAACAAAAATCCATCATAAAAATAAAGAAATTATGCATTTAGTTGAATCTCATTTTGATCAATTTATCAATTGCAAAGACACATTAGATAAAATGCAAGTCATAATTAATTCTGCAAAGGCAGAGGCTGTTAAAAATGGAGTTTATCTTAATGTTGTTATTAAAATGCAAGAAAAATATAATGAACTTCTTAACTCACTTTCTTCAATTAAACAACTCACTGATTTAAAGAATCGTGTTGATCAATCTCGAGACGCTATTTCAGTTATTGAAAGAGCTCGTTCAGTTTTTTCTCTTCCAGCTCAATTACGATCAGCAGCAGCTAATAGAGATGATGATAGATTTGTTAATGTTTTTAATCGTGCACAAGGTTTGTCAAAGGAAACAGAGATTGGAATATATCAAGATGTATTACAAGACTGTAATATTACTGCTCAAAAATTTGTTGATGAATTATTTTGCAGTATTAGTAAAATTGATTTAACAAGAAATCAATATGATCGTTGTTTAACAACATTATTTGAAATGAAACAATTCCCAGTTATTATATTAAAAGATAATCCAGTAATCTTTTTATTAAGAAGTCATCGTGAAGCATTAAAAAAAGAATATGAAAATGGTTATAAACTTATGACTGAAAAGAAAAAAGAATCACAACATGAAAAGTTTTTAGTTCAATCAATAAATATTCTTCAAATGAATAATAAGTATGGGACAAGTACCCGTGGGATGAGTACCACTACAAGGTCACTTACAACAATGAATGGAGTTAATAATGCAAATAAAACAATTGGTTTTAGTAAAAAATATCAAACAACTCATAAGTTTTGTAGTAAAATGATTGAACACATTTCTAAGTTAATTGGAATTGTACAATTTTCTTCAAACAAAAAAAAGAAAGAAACAGAAGAAGACTCTAGTCAATTAAGAAAAACTACTGTACTCTTTGAAGATGGAACTATTGTTTCTGTTTCATATTCAAAAAATACTACTGGGACAATGTTTCTTGATTTAGCACTTACAACATATAAATTAACACACCCAGATTTACCATTTGATTCAGAGTTTGAATTATGTAGCTTTATTGGAAAAACAACAGAAAAGGATAGTTCGGTATTGGAAAAAGCACTTAGTGAAGCAATTGTATTAGGAGAAAATGATATGCCATTTGAACTTGAAACAAGGTGGGCTACAGCATCTAAAGAAATTAGTCATTCATTTTATGCAAGAGCAAAAAAAGGAGTTGTAGAGAAAGAGTCGACTTCAGACAGATCGACATATGTTGTTAAATTATACAAGATTTTTGTGATAGTATGACAAAAATTTTTGATTTATCAGAACAGTGTGAAGATATTGAAGAATTTAATAATAGTAATAATCTAATT